GGTTATTAATTAATATCCGTATTTACAGAGCTAATCATACTCTGTCTCAGTCCTAATTTCAGAGAAAAATTCGTAGGAGACAGACCTGATTCCGTACCGAGAATTATGCTGGCCCGTGAGAGTTTTTTTTTTTTTTTTCCATTTTGAAATTCTTTGTTGGTGAATAATTTAATTTTCCATTGATTGGCTCAAAATATTTTTGGAAAATAGTCAATAATTTGCTTCTTCTTTTCTTAATCGAGAGAGACTGCATGTCTACATCATATGATTCATATCAACACATCAATTAGATTAGAAAGCAAAAATTATCGGAACATTGTTTGCCACATTTATTGAAAACACTTTCAAGTTTTTAAATTTATTATAGGATGTATAGATTTGCAAAAACTAAAAAAAAATGAATAATAATAAATTAATATATATCTTTCACCTAAAATTTTTGAAAAGGTTTGAGCTTTGATTTAAAACTCAATTTATTACGACATTGCAAATAATCTTCTAAAAACTAACGTTAAGTCACAAATCACATCATGTTCTAGTGTCGAATCAACAGAGAAATCTGATATTTTCAAATCTTTAGCTTTAGAAGCTTTGCGTTTAGAGGTTTCTAACCTCTCAAGATAAGGATTTGAAGATATATTATGTGGTGATAACAATTCAATCCATAGTGCACTTAACACACTAAAATTATGTAATATCTTGGTTGAACTCGTAGTAATTTTTATTACAGTTTATGAAGTAAGTTGACAAATAAAATCATATTCGCTTAGTCAATTTAATCCAAAGATCGTGTTACATTTTTCTTAACTCAAATATTTTTTTTGGGTACTAAATCAAGAAGTTGGCCAAGAAAAGGAGATTTCTACTTAATAACAGCAAACATATTATATCTTTTTTTTTGTTTTTATCAAACGCAAACATATTATATCTAGTTCACATTTTTCATATCTTGATACTTTTATCATATGGTTAATTAATGTACAAGAATTTTTTTTTTTGAAAATTATTAATGTACAAGATTGATTGTTTTTTTTTCTCTTGGAAAATTGCAAGAGTACCATAAACTTATGAAAATAATTTCTCAATTTACCACTACTTTTTTTTGTCTTCAAACAATCACTTATTTGCTGTAAAATATACATAGCATAAGTGTTGTATTTGAGGGGCTTCTCATCTGCTGCTTCCGTGTCGGCAAAGTCCCTTAGCGATGGTCTCTCATTCTCGGTCTCGTTCAAGTTGCTGGAGATGTTCATGGATCTCGCTTACTGCCGTGTGCAGTTCGAAACTTCTCAAATCTTACTCATGTATGGAGATGTTGCTGCAAATTACGTACATCAATGGCTTTCTCTGTTTCCTCTTTACCTTACCTATAGCTCCTCGTTCCATCAACCAGATGCTTCGAATTGACTCTCAATCATTTGCTGACCGTGAGCACTCTCGGGTTTGGAATTAGTGTCTTATAAAAGGCATTGTATGGTTTATTGATGAAGGCAAACTTAGTCTTGTAGTTGTAGGGACAAAACTAGAGATTATTGATTCCCATAGGCTATTATAGGTTTGTAAACCGAATGATTTTATTAAGAGAGCATATACACATATATATATATAGTGATACAACGTAGAGACTAGGTATTAACTAATTACATAAAGATCCTTAATAGTTATTTACATATCCTTACA